ATTTTTAGTATATGTGCTGCTGAAGCATGTACTTTGCCCAGCTTTGAATCTGGTTGTTGTTGCTGATATAATTTTTTTTTTTTTTTTTTTAAACAGCCTTACTCGGTCTCCCAGGCTGGAGTGCAATGGCACAGTCTCAGCTCACTGTAACCTCCACCTCCTGAGTTCAAGCGATTCTCCCACGTCAGCCTCCTATGTAGCTGGGATTGCAGGCATGTGTTATCACACCCAGCTAATTTTTTTGTGTTTTTAGTATAAGATGGGTTTTCATCATGTTGGCCAGGCTGGTCCCGAACCCCTGGCTTCAAGTGATCCACTCACCTCAGCCCCCTAAAGTGCTGGGATTATAGGCCTGAGCCACTGAGCCCCACCTACACGTAAGCCAACTTTAATGTTTTTCAATAAAGCTTTGTAATTTCCCCATTAAGGACTTACACATCTTTTGGATTTATTGTTAGGTATTATTAGGTCTTTTTTTCTTTCTCTTCTTTCTTCCTCTCTCCTCCTTATCTCTTTCTCTCTCTCTCTTTCTTCATTGCTAATTCCTTTTAAAATTTGTTTTCTGATTGTTGCTGGTATATAGAAATGCAGATATTTTATTTACTTATTTACTTTTTTAAGAGACAGGGTCTTGCTCTGTCACCCAGGCTGTACACTGGTGTGATAAAATTTACCACTTGCTTTTAGGCAGAAAGGGGGAGGGCAGATAATTCTGCATCTGTTGATTCTCAATTGCCTTCAGCTCAAAATAGTCTTTATGCCAAAGTGGAATATTCTGGGGTGGACTATCCAGATTCTCTTCAAGTCTCTCTGACCGTTCTTCTGCCCTGCAGCCTGGGTGACAGAGCTAGATTCTGTCTCAAAAAATAATAATAATAAATAAAGTACACTTTCCATTCTCGGTTTGCTAAGAGTTTTTGACATAAGTAGATGTTGAAATTTATTGAATGGTTTTCCTTCATTAGTGACATCATCTGGTTTTTCTCCTTTAATCTATGACCATGGTGAATTATATTAGTAGATTTTCTAATGAATTAGTCTTGCATGCCTGAAATAAACTCAATGTGGTCATTATGTTTTTATACGTTACCAGGTTCTATTTGATAAGTATATAATTTAGGATTTCTACATCTCATGGGTAACGTTGAACTGGAATTTTCCTTTCTTGTACTGTCTTTGTACAATTTTGGAATCAAGGTTACGGTAAAGTCATATCTTGAGTTGGGGAGTGTTAGGCTGTTCTTGCATTGCCATAAAGAAATGCCTGCGTTTGGTAATTTAGAAAGAAAGAGGTGGATTTGGCTCATGGTTCTGTGAGCTGGATAGGAAGTATGGCACTGGCCTGAGCTCGGCTTCTGGGGACGCCTCAGGGAAGTTTTACTTACGTAGAAGGCCAAGTGGGGGCAGGAGTCAGCAGGAGCAGGAGGTGGCGGGTGGGAAGGAAGTCACACACACTTGACAGCAGCCACATCTCAGGAGAACTCACTACCGAGAAAACTGCACCAAGCCATGAAGGATCCACCCTGTGACCCAAACATCTCCCTGCAGGCCTCACCTCCAACACTGGGGATATTCAATATGAGACTTGGGCAGGGATGAATATCCAAACTATATCAGGGAGTAGCCCTCTTTTTCTTTTCTGTAGAGATATTTCTGAAGAGTTAGAATTAACTATTCTTTGAATATTTCATGGCATTTTCCTCTAAATCCACCTGGGTCTCATGTTTTTAAAAAATTGAGCTGAAATTCATCTAACAAAATTAACCATGTTAAAGCAGACAATTCAGTGGCATTTAGCACATTCACAAGTTGTGTGCAATCATCACTGCTCTCAAAGTGGACCCTGTACTCATTAGAAGTCACTTCTCACTCTCCCTTCCCCTTTCCCCCCACCTTTGGCAAGCCCTAGTTCACTTTCTACTTCTATGAATTTACCCGTAATGGATGTTTCCTATAAATGGAATCATACAACATATGGAATAATATTCCATTGTATGGATGTACCACATTTTATTTATCCGTTTACCCAGCGATAGACATTTAGGTTATTTTCATCTTCTGGCTATTGTGAATACCACTTCTGTGAGCATTCATGTATAGCCATTTATTTGACTACTTTTTCTCAGATTTTTTTTTTGAGATGGAGTCTCAAGAGTCTTGCTTTGTCCAGGCTGGAGTGTAGTGGCACAATCTTGGCTCACTGCAACCCCTGTCTCCCAGGTTCAAGTGATTCTCCTGCCTCAGCCTCCTGAGTAGCTGGGATTACAGGTGCACACCACCATGCCTGGCTAAGTTTTGTATTTTTGTATTTTCACCGTGTTGGCCAGGTTGGTCTCAAACTCCTGACCCCAGGTGATCCATCCACCTCAGCCTCCCAAAGTGCTGGGATTATAGGCCTGAACCACCGTGGTCAGAGAACCTGGGTATATGGTACCAATTCTTTGAAACTGGTTGTACCTTAGCAGTTTGTCCATTTGTGTAAATAGGCCGTGTGTGATTGAAAAGAATGGATCTTCTCACACCCTTCATTCAGAAAGGCAAAGATGAGAAAGGCAGAATAATTCCAAGTGCTGGTGAAGAGGGGAGCAACTGGAGCTCCCCAATGCTGCTGGGGGGAATATAAATGGCTACAATTATTTTGGAAATCTTTTTGGGAATATCTAAAAACGAAACAGAAGCTAAACATAACCAGTAGAAATATGTATGCATAATCATCAAAAGACCATATACAAGAATGTTCATGGCTGCACCACTGTACTAACTACAAGAGAAACAATATAAATGTCCACAAATACAAGAATGGATAAAGATCTTGTGGTTTATTCATATAATGGAATGAGAATGAAAAAAAATGTTTCTGGCTGGGTGCGGTGGCTCACGCCTGTAATCCCAGCACTTTGAGAGGCTGAAGTGGGCAGATCACCTGAGGTTGGGAGTTCAAGACCAGCCTGGCCACCATAGTGAAACCCCATCTCTACTAAAAATACAAAAATTAGTCATGTGTGGTGACTCATGCCTGTAATCCCAGCTACTTGGGAGGCCGAGGCATGAGCATAGCTCGAGCAGGTGGGGATGGGGGCGGGGGGAAGATGGAGGCGGTAGTGAGCTGAGAATCCGCCACTGCACTCCAGCCTGGGAGACAGAGCAAAACTCAGTCTTGGAAAAAAAAAAAAAAAGGAAAAAATTTCCACATGCAAAAATATCACAAACATAATATTGAGTAAAATAAACCAGACACAAAAGAGTACTACTCTCTGATTCTGTTTATATAAAGTTTTTAAAAACAGGCAAAATTAATGTATAGCATTAGAAGTCTGAAAGGTGGGCTGGGCATGGTAGCTCACGCCTGTAATCCCAGCACTTTGGGAGGCTGAGGTAGGTGGCTCACTTGAGGTCAGGAGTTTAAGACCAGCCTGGCCAATATGGTGAAACCCCATCTCTACTAAAAATACAAAAACTAGCCGGGCGTGGAGGTGTGTGCCTGTAATTCCAGCTACTCCAGAAGGCCGAGGTACGAGAATCACCTGAACCCAGGAGGTAGAGGCTGCAGCGAGCTGAGAGCCACTGCACTCCAGCCTGGGTGACAAATTAAGACTGTCACTCTGTCTCAAAAAAAAAAATGTCAAGAAGGTGGTTATCCTTATTCTTTTTCTTCCCAGACCTGTCAGCAGGAAATAAAAGACTGTTATCTTTAGCATGGCTCATGAGGTGGGGGTCAAGAAGAAAGGGGGATAGTATAATTTTTGTTTGTTTGTTTGAGACAGAGTCTCACTCTGTTGCCCAAGCTGGAGTGTAGTGCCACGATCTCAGCCAACTGCAACCTCCACCTTCCAGCTTCAAGCGATTCTCCTGCCTCAGCCTCCCAAGTGGCTGGGATTATAGGTGTGTGCCACTATGCTCAGCTAATTTTTGTATTTTTAGTAGAGATGAGGTTTCACCATGTTGGCCAGGCTGGTCTTGAACTCCTGACCTTGTGATCTACCTGCCTTGGCCTCCCAAAGTGCTAAGATTACAGGCGTGAGCCACCGTGCCCGGCCTAACAGCCTGTTCTTAGTTCATGAATGTAATATTCTATCTAATCTCCGAAGATTGTTTTAACATCTGTTTGCTTTGTGAAATGTTTGCATGGGGATTAGTCTTTGTTTATTGAGTTTTGTACTTTTCTTGATATTACTTTTCCTCAAATGTTTGGCAATTTAAATTTTAGGCTCATATTTGAAAATTTCTATTCTCCTGTCTGTTGAACCAGGTTCTGATGACATGAGCTTGCCTCTGGTAACCACAGCAGAGGATAAACTGGACAATGTGAGGAAGGCTGAGTGCTGTCCGTCAGGAAGGCCTTTCCAGTCCACCTAGAAATAGTGCAGTTTCCTTGCTACCCCAGGTCTTTCTGTGCCTCTTGTCACCAATGCTCTGGCCTGTGGGCACACACTCACTGTGACACAGTTTAGCACAAAAGAGGTGGGGAAGGGGGCGAAGGCAACTAGCTGATCCTCCAAAAGCCCCCAGATAATCACCCTGACTCCTGCCACAGGGCTCCTTCCTGTTCCCTATTTCCATAAAGGGCATAGCTTTCACAGAACTCACAGCTACCTTCACAGAAGTGACCTTTTTTTTTTTTTTTGAGACAGAGTCTCACTCTGGGCAGGCTGGAGTGCAGTGGCATGATCTCAGCTCACTGCAACCTCTGCCTCATGAGTTCAGCAATTTTCCTGTCTCAGCCTCCCAAGTAGCTGGGACTACAGGTTTGTACCATGCCTGGCTAATTTTTGTATTTTTAATAGAGATGGGTTTCCACCATGTTAGTTAGGGTGGTCTCGAAATCCTGGCCTCAAGTGATCCACTGGCCTCAGCCTCCCAAAAAGCTGGGATTACAGGCATGAACCACCGTGCCCGGCCCCTCCTGTAGAACTTTTAGCCATTGGTCTTTCCTTTGGTCATATTTCTCCATCAAACAAGACCCATCTCCTTTCTATCTTTAATGAATTCCTGAAACAGTCTGGTATGCCAATAAACACTTTCGTTCTTCGGCTATGTGTTTATTCTTAATTTCAGGAGATTTTCAGATGTGTAGCAGGAGGGCTATGGGAATCTTCATGGCCCTCCATACCCCTGTTCCATTACACTCCTGGCTATGACCTGTCACATAGTTGCTCTGTGCCGCTTTGATTGATAGCACAGTGTACCTTGTCTTGGTTGGTGTTCATGCTTACAGAGAAAGACTTGCCAACATCAGGATTTGTAACCAGAAAGGGTGTTGAAAACATATCCTCGAAATCAGGCTATCAAATGTTAGAAGAAAACCTTTCAGACCTAGAATCAGTTATGGAGAAGAAAGATGATAAACAGTTCCAGAAACTATAAATGGCCAGCTTCTAAGCCACAACTTGTCTTTGTACACACCGATGTATACATAATACGGCAAAGTTTTATGTGCAACTGAGGGTGTGGCATTTATGATTCAGAAAGAATGAGTTTGTGCAGATGGAAATGGGCATTTGGGTGGGGATTAGGCAAGGACAGAATTATAATGCAAGCCAGGTGGATGGTAACACCTCTTTTTGTCTATACCAAAACTATTCAGAAAAAACTGTATCCATAAGACTGACTTTTTGTGATGACTAAATACATAGAATCATTTAAGTATACAACTTAAGAAAAAATCAGGAGTAGAAGTCATCCACAGATGAGTACTCCAGGTTTTAGAGGAAAAAAAATGTAAATGAACATTTCAATTGGGTAAATCAGTTTCTCAGTGAGAGCCTTCTCAACCTCATCTTGCCAGATGACAAATGACTATCTATTATTGTTAAAGTTTGTGGCAAAAGGACAGCCAAATTGATTCAGCATCAACTAAGCGTGGAAAAAAATGTAGCTGCAAAAACAAAAACAAAAACAGATTTCTGGCTGCTGTCCTCAAAAGCCTCCCACACAGACGATGTTCCTGACAGGATCAACAAATGCTCCATTTCACTGTCCCACAGCGCAGCTTCGGCCATCAGCCACTGACTGGCTTGGGCCAGAAGTAGTTTTGGTCTCTGTGACAGTGACTTCCTTGCTCTGCTCTGAACGAGTGACCTTTCTGTGAAAGTAGGTGTCCTGGTTCTAGGGCTAATCCCAATGCCATCCCACAACATTTCAGTGTGCCTGGCACCATACCTGGCACCATACCTGGCAAGCAGCGAGCTCCTGACGCTTGGAAGTGCTAATGCTGTTCCAGACATCTGTAAGCAAGTCGGATCAGCCAGATTCCATCACGTGAGACACCTTGGAGGACAAAGCCACATTGTGTGGAGGAAGACACACCACCGTTCAGACCCAAAGTCGTCCTGCTTTCTCCTGCACTCCGTCTCCCCTAGTGCCAGGTAGGTTTCTGCCTGTACTAAGAAGGGTGAATGGAAAAGCGAGATGTAAAAACAAACTGAAAAAAAGGGCTCGAAATGTCTATGGGAAGATAAAATCGTGGCAGTGCTTTAGGAAGAAAGAATCACATGATTCAATAGACTGTTGTTTTCTTTAGAATGCGGGGATGATAACTGGTGTTGAAGTGATGCACTGGGGCTTTGAGGTGCCTCCCCCACCCTGGCCTCGCGCTGGCAAGTGAGAACCAAGCCCGCGCTAACTTCACAGTTCTCGGCCCGTGGAAGCGCAGGCCACCTGGGCTCCAGCAAACACCAGACGTGTAATTAGAGGCTCCTGGGCTGGGATAATGTGGTGCACAGACAAGTCTTATCACGCGTCTGAGCCTCTGTGGGTGCCCAGAGTTGCCTCTGCAGCCCGGAGCGGGTGAGTGGAGGCTCCTGTGACTCATCCAACTGCAGGAACTGTCAACTGGCTTCTGCCCAGCCAAGAACTTTTATCAATCACTAAGTAGAGACACTGTGTACAAGGACACTGGTTCATCCAAGAACATCAGGACAGCCAGGAATTTAAAACATACAAAACACCGCTTCCTGCATGCTGCACCCCAGGCAGCTCTGAGGCTCAGCCCAAGGAAGATTTGGGGCTCGGGCCAGAAAGACACGATTAACTCTGACTTACACAAGAGGGGAGTGTACAAAAGTCATGCAGTCCCAGGGGAAGGCACTGGGCTAAACCCTCATGACTGTAAAATGAAGAAATATGCATGAAGCATGACTAGGGTGTTTGACGAGGACCCAGAGTTATGTCCAAGGAATGAAGGCGCTGCCTTCAACAGAGCAAAATGTCAAGTTAACTGATAACAAATACATTCCACAGGACTGGTCTCTGAGTGAGACAACTTTTTTAGTGGGGAAAAAAAGAACAAATAAATGTGTTTCCGGATGCTGTTTTAGTGAGCTTGATACAAGTTTACTTGCTTGCTCTTCCTGGTAGGTTTCAGGATTCCCAGGGAAGTGATGGGCCGAGGAGAGGCACGCTAAACTCAGCCTGATCACAGCTCTTTTCTTTTCTTTTCCCTCCCTTCCTCCCCTCCCTCTCTCCTTCCCTTACCCCTTCCCCTTCCTTTCCTTCCCCTCCCCTCCCCTTTCCTCCCCTCCCCTCCCCCCCCCCTTTTTTTTTTTGATGGAGTCTTACTCTGTCACCCAGGCTAGAGTGCAGTGGTGTGATCTTGGTTCACTACAACCTCTGCCTCCTGGGTTCAGGAGATTCTCCTGCCCTAGCCTCCCAAGTAGCTGGAATTACAGGCACCTGCCACCACACCCAGCTACTTTTTTTATTTTTAGTAGAGACAGGGTTTCACCATGTTGGTCAGGCTGGTCTCGAACTCCTGACCTCATGATCCACCCGCCTCGGCCTCCCATAGTGTAGGGGTTACAGGCATGAGCCACTGTGCCTGCCCTTTTTTTTTTTTGAGACAGAGTCTCGCTCTGTTGCCAAGGCTGGAGTGCAGTGGTCAGCTCACTGCAACCTCCGCTTCCCCGGGTTCAAGCCATTCTCCTACCTCAGCCTCTGAGTAGCTGGGATTATAGGTACGCCACCATGGCCGGCTAATTTTTGTATTTTTAATAGATGAGATTTTACTTTGTTGGTCAGGGGTCTCAAACTCCTGACCTCAAGTGATCTGCCTGCCTCAGCCTCCCAAAGTGCTGGGCTTACAGGTGTGAGCCACCATGCCCAGCCCCCACAGCTCTCTTTCTACGACAAGTGCAAACTAGTACTTGGAACGGAGTCCTTTCTATCCATCCCCGAGCCCCTCCCCACACCAAAATCCCACCTGCTGCCACATGGCGGGGACGGTGAGGAACAGTGACTATCACAATGACTTCCTCAGGTGCAGAAAAACATACGCACCAAGTATGGTTTGCCACTCTGAATTCCGGACAGATAACATGACGGCAGAGGTAAGTTTGTTTAAACACGCTCTAGTAACAGCTTCTTAGTGGTTGAAGTTAAAGCATAGTGAAGTTTGATACATTCGAGTGAAAAGCAAGCATGAAAACTTGTATCCTCCCAGCAAATTACATTAGACATGGCTCAATCACATGATTTCATGTAGTTAACAAGGAGTGAAGGATGAGGCCAGCCAAGTTGGGACAGATTGAACCTCCTACCCAATTCTACTGTCCTCTCCTTTTTCCAAATAAAATCCAATACTTCTTTTTAACAAGTTGTATGATTCACATGCCGAGAGCAAAAGGGCCAGGTTGTTTGTCAATTGATCTAGTCCAAAGAAAACAAGTCCTTGAGTGTATTTTAGTTTGAAGGAAACTTATTTTCCTAAGGACAAGAACACCTCAAAGCTCTAGTACTAGATCAGAAATTCACATTATGCATACCCTGGCTTGTTAGGCACTTCCAATTGGAAAATATGGAGCCTTAAGGCTGTAGATATTTGAGACCCTTAAGAGAAAAAAATGATTCATGAATTCTTAAAATGTAAAGGAGTGTTTTTATTAGAGCAAATGCAAAGTAACCTTGCAGGAAACCTTGGCAGTTTAAAGTTAACATGCCTTAATTTATCTTCTCGATGACAATAGCCATAATGCATTATTTACATGACAACACACACATATATATACACATATAATATATAGACACAC